AGGAAAGAATTAAATTTTGAAATTACATTGATGCATTAAATATTTTTTTGTTCAGTTTTAATATTACAGTTATCTTATTCATATCTTTTTCGTAACATGCTTATCGGTATCTTCAGTTTTCAAAATTTGTGCGCAACCATCCCCATTGCATGGGATTAAGCGTATTTCTACATCATTGCTAAACTTGGTGGTAAGTTTTAAATAAATGTCTTTCTTAAGATTGAGAAAGGAAAGGGTACATTTTGGAGTGCAGAGGACGATTTTTGTGCACCGCAATAGAAAAAATATCTTAATTTATGAAATAATAGATTAACTTTTTTTATTTGTACGAAGCAGCTATCAAATGTTCACTGTGCTCCTCAGCGATGTTCTTGTTCATTAAAACAAGGATTTACCAGTTATTGCAATTGCACAAATAAATGCAATAATTTCAAGAATTTTCGTTTTTCTTGATTGTAAAAATAAGATGATTATCTGCACACATGAAAGCATAAATGAAACCAATGTATTTTTGCACGTTATTATATTTAAAACTATTTTACGATACGAACATCTACATTTAAACAAGCATATTTAGTCACGGAACCCGAATTATTGAAATAAATATCAAACACATTAATTTAATACTATTCAATATAATATACTGTTAGCCAACTCTGAGTCACAAAGTTGTATAAGTTATTCTAAGAGGGTCGAGAAAACGTTAACAATGAACCTCTCTGCAGATGCCTCAGCACATCAACAACAGATAAAACTTTAAAAATGTAAAGAAATATTTGTTTAAGGAATCATCGAATCATGATAAAAGAAGTAGCTGATGATCTTAGCATCTTTTTTGGTTCACGCCAAGCTATTTTAAAGGACGATTTAGGCATGAAATCAAGTTTGTTTAGGGAGGCTTAGGCAATTTTGAATTAAATGATGGCTAGCTCTGAAATTCAGAGATTATGTAAATCAAGTACGCCAGATTTTTTCATGAAAAAGAAATAGAGGTCAACACATTCATTTTTGAGAAAGTCGCTAGTGAAAATTCGTCATTTTAATACGTAACCTTACGGAACCCGAAATCAAATTGACTATTGTACTGCAATAAAAAGCTGTGGGCCTAGAAGTCGAATTGGTACATATATTTTTAATTATAAACAATCTATTACTTAAAAAAAAAACCAGTGGGCAGTCATGGGACTGCCGACAGAAGTGAGAACTTAAAACTATGAATCATTTTTTTACTTAAGTTCTGAAACGCATTAGTAGCTATCCACATTATTTACTGTTTTTGAAATGTGTAATCTTAAATTATGGCATTTATATAATTATGTGGGTCGTGATAGTACAAATGATAACATGTATATCTCTTCATTATACATACTTTTAATAATGAATTATAAAGTTTATTACACGACAATACAGGTATTTCTTAAGCTGGGAATTCTGAAAATTATGCGATTTGTTATGAAAATGTTTGTTTTAAATTATACTGCAACAGATACTGAGGAGTAAGAAAAAATTCATTAAAGAACTTAGACAATTCATGTCCGATGTAAGCTTATTTTTATTTTTTAATAAATATATTTGAAGTCCTCAACATCCAATTTGTAAATAATCGAATTGATTTTCAGGCACGAACCCTAAATACTTACGTAAAACAAAGCGTTAATTCGATTTTTTCTCATTATAAATAATTGAGTTTTCTGAGAAGGCTACTGAGTACTTTGTAGAATAATTGTTAATCACTATTAATAAATTTGTTTAAAGAATCGAGTAAGGTAACTGAAATTGCAACTGAATATTAAATTATACCTTTATAACTTAAAATAATTTTAGTATAATCTAAGATATTATAAAGCATAATTTTATTAAAAATTATTAACAGTAGTCTCGTCGTCAGATTTGTCAGTGTTACAAAGAAATTCAAATGCGCACTATGAGCACTACGCAGTGGCTGCCGTTAGACAAGGAGAGAGTACTTAGCATTTGTCAGCGCGGCGTAGTGCGGCAGGGTATGGTAGTATAGGTATGCATACGGCCATACCCCGCCGCACTCTGCGGCATCATCAAGCTACTCTCTCCCTCTCTACCACTGACCAATACAGAGCGGGCTCCCCTCTCTCCTCTCGCCCCTCTCACTACCATTTAAGAATTTTTCCCCATCCAAAATTGTCCAACGCGCCTTAAAAAGTTTCCACTTCAAAATTTTTTTATTTTAGACTTTTTACCTCTTACCTCAAAGCCTATGTGAAGGAATATAATGCATGTATAGGGGGTTGGCGCGCAGGGGGACGAACCCATACGAGTATACGTATATATACTATTTTATTGATACTATAAATTTTACTTTTATTTACATATACAAATACACCAATAAATATATTAAAGTCTTTTGTTTTATTTACTTTAAAAATCAATAGAAATCTGGCATAATAATGTTGTTAGTTCTCACTTAATTTATGACATAATCTGTTAACTTTACGTGATTTTCTACTCTATATCACTACTGTTTAGTTTTTAAAATTTTTTTAAAAAAGTGTGAGAACATTACGAATATTACTTGAAACTTTTGTGGCAAAATTTATATAAGTGTTAGTATCACATTTATTTATATTCGTATATGTTGTTACATCTACACCATCATAAAATTCTCTTTGAATAAAATTTAAAATAATATGATTCAAGACATGTATTTATTTATTGTATGTTGTTAGAATTAAACTGTTCAACTTATAACCTTACCTTTCACCAAATATTTGAAAACATATATCACATGGTAGCCATTTTCTTGGAGTGATAAAGCACTTTATATTTTTGGTTTCTGTTTTTCATAACAACTTCTAAAATTTGGCAGTCATCTAAACGAAGATTGTCCACGTATTCGTGCACTTTAAGTAACGGCTGTAAAAGTGGCAATTTCACTTATTGTGGTATTATTCTACTTCTTGTATTTTCTTTATGATATAAAATCACTTCTTAAATATATTTGTTTGTTTCCAAAAGGCTTACTATTGTCATCGATTACGTTTTGTTACGTATGATCAACTATTTCTAAAGTCTTTACGGATCATTGAAGCTTTATCTGATAAGATAAAGTCAGCTATTATGAGGAACTTGTAGGGTAATCAACAGTGTTCAACGATACTTAAAACCGAATGGTTTCCACGGTCAGCAAAAAAGAGACAGAGGTACGAAGATTATTTTCTGGTTTTTAATTAAAAATTTTCGAAGTTACAGCATTAGGTCTCATCAGAGAATAAAAGAGCTACTCGTTACCTCAGAACCTTTTTTTTATACAGTTTGCTTTTTTTTTAAAAACAAAACTTTTTTTCCAGGTGACTGCGTTTGAATGTTAAAGAAAAAAAGAAAGCAAGTTTTCACACTCGGCCCCCTCTCATAACTATCGGTTATTTCGTTATATCTACAGTTTAATTTGTCGCTTTGAATATTAGTTTAAAAAACGGATTTAAAAAGTACATTAGGAACTAATTTTTAGAAAGAAGATCCTTAGTAGCCGTACATGACCTTGGAAATAGAAATAAATTAAACAGAACGCAATATTTTTATGAGATATCCTAATTAAAAAAAAGCTGTTATAAGACCCACAGAAGCCAAGATATTAATGACTTTTTGACCATGAGTGGTTTTAAGAGCGTGACATCAAATTCCACGTTAGCCACGAGCGAGCAGCTGCAGCTGTGCCACGGATTCACTCCCCTCCATTGCAGTTTATAAGTATGAGAATTATTATTTTCTTAAAAGACAGGTATTTAAAAGCAGCATGTCGAAATTCCAACTATTTATGTAAATAAACAAAGTTGTGAGACTCAAGACAAAAAAAAATTATCTGTGCGTCAGGGGGTCATAGGAAAATTTTTTCGTTTTTAATGTAAAGAATTTTTTCAGCTTTTGGATGAACAGTAGTCCAGTTACGGTAGTGTCTAAATTATTAATAACACTTAATTTGAATAATTTGTTTCTTAAATTTATATTTACATAAAATCTGTTGTAAAAATTCTTCTACTTTAAAGAAAAGTCCTGAAGTAACAACTCTTAAAGAACGAAGAGAGCGAAAGCGAGCCCTTTTTGAATACTGTCAGACATATTCCTGAGCAAAATTTTTCAAAAACATACCTTTTTAAAAACAATCGCAATCGTGCAAAAACGGTTAGCATAGAACGTTCATATTGAGGAATATTGATATATTAATGTACCATATAAGAGGTACCATTGTAGCAAACTTATAGCCGTTCCAGACAATTGGCTTATTATTAATACACAAATTTAGAATATTATTATTTAATAAATTTTTGGCGTTTTTTGTAATCAAATACTGTTGTTAGCCATCGAGGTTCATTTTGTAGGTCTTCTGAATACCTACATGTTTTGTCATGAATATTTTCCAGTAAATCTGTAAAAACTTGCTATAATTTTAAAAGTATGTTAATTTATATTTACAGAAGAGGGTAAATTGTAAATGATCTGAGAGTCAGCTTTTCAGTATGAATAGCCTGGTTGAAAACCTCTTTACTACATAATTTCAGATTCCACTCTTTGGCTTATAATGGCAGTATACATATTCTATAGACAATATTCATATTCAGAAAAAAAGCTACACATGAACCATAGAAATATGCTGAAGGCCAGTATGTTAGGCACAGAGCTACAGCACAGTGCCTAAGATGGTATATAATGTAGAGAAAGTCAAGTTGTGTGCCCTAAGTTGATGTGTGTATGAGCATCAGTCTTTCATCCATCACAGTTTATGAATCAAACGTTACAATTATTTTTTGTTTAATAAAGTAAATTTGTAATTAGGCCTTTCTTTCATACATACGTATACAAAACGAAGAAGGTATTTTAGTAGGAAGAATGGTGATGATCAAAGTTTCACGTACTATTTCATACTTTTTATACAAATTTAGGGCTATGAGTATTTCTTATAATAAAATTGCGTTTACTAAAATACATAATTTTATTATTATATTACAATTGTTAATACAGTAGTACAAGTCAGATAAATATTTATTTACTATATTCACAGATCACAAAAATTTTAAGTTGTAATTTTCTTTATTAGTTGCATTTTCTAACATCCCAAAGATATTTTTCTCATTATATATAATATTCTAACTCGAATAATAACGATACAAAATTGATCTGTTTGTACATTTGATTTAATTATCAAAATATAGTGTACTGTTATGCGTTATTCAATTAATACGATTTTTTTTTTAATCTCACCTTCTTGCAAAAGCCGTGATTCAAAGTTAGTCCATAATTCTTGTTTATATTATGTAATAAAGTATTTCCGAGCTATAACGTCTATTGTTACAACGTATAACTCAAAAAGAAGCTTTTGCAGTCAGTTAAAAAATTAATGACTTTTTGCAGCTTCTTTTGCTGCTTCCTTAGCTGCTTCTTTAGCTGCCATTATTAAGGGTGTTAATGAAGCTAAAGGCCTTGCAAATTTTAAAAATGGATGCTGAAAAAAAAAAATTAGGTGATTGAACTAAACTATTTAAGCCGATAATAGAAATATGTACCTTTAACAAATCAGAAGCTGCAGATCGTTTATCAACCTCTACTTCCAGACACTGATCCAAAAAATCTTGAAAATTATTGGAAAGTTTGTCTTTTTCTTTAATATCTGGCTTGCCATTTGTTGCTATTAAATATAAGGCTCTTAAAGGGTTCTCATTCAGGTACGGTGGTTCTCCTTCAATCATTTCTATAGCCATAATTCCTAAAGACCAAATGTCAACCTAGAGTTAATAAGAAAATAAAAATCGTAATTATTGCCAGCAATTAAGATTCAGTACATTTTTTTTTTTTTGTATAATGTGTTTTTCAAACGTCTCTGAAATTTTTCAAATCGAATTTTAAGACAGAACAGATTTCTTAAAATTTAAAAATTATACTGCTGAATAGTATAAAAATTAAGGCAAAATAGACAACAAGGTTAAAAAATCATTTTTAAGAGTGCAAGCAACTTTATTACGTATTTATGACGTTCACACGATTATGAACGTTTTCTAAAACTATTAACAAATTTTATTATATTAAAACGCATTAGGCAATAGAAAAATTGATTATTTCATAAATTAAGTCAAATTTGATGTTAGTATTACAGCTCATTTTTATCTGCGGCATATACGTGATACGTACAAAACACAAGTTACAAATTTTTTTATAAAGTAGCAACATTACAACAGTCATACCACAAACAAGCAATAAGTTACTTTATAATTATTTATTTTTTGGCTATAGTTATTCATTAAACAATATTTGAAGAATTCCAATTTTCTGGCACACGAATTGAGTCACGGTGAGTACTTATACACTTAAAATCTGGTATGTATTTCACAGTAAGGAAGTTTGCCTTTACTATTCATTTATATTTTAGTGTCATTTAACTTATTTACTTTTTAACACTTTAAGTGCTTGAAAATCGAAGCAGGTAAGCATTTTAAGATTTGTTTGCAATACGTGACAGTTCAAACATTATAGTTTAATTTTACTATGTGAGGGACAGATTAGTTTTATTAATTTATTTCAGAGGTTTTCCAACGTCTGGACACTATAAACATCTACAACTAGTTTTTTTCTACTGGATCGTCGAAGTTCTAGTAACCTGACGTGCCACAGCTTTACTGCTTCAGAGAATAGAGCAATTTCATTATTTAAGCTGTGTCAAAATTTCATAGCAAAAGAAAGAATTTATATTAACAATCTACAGTGAGAAAATGAGCTGGGAAACAAACTAAAATTATCTTTTCATTTAGTATTGTTACAGAAGAGTAATAACTCTATAAAGTAAGCCTGTTGCTATGTTGGCAGAAAAAATCTCCAAGTCCAAGCGGCTGATTTAAAAGTACACAACACGGAGGATTTTTTTAATAATGAACGCTGTTAATAAATCGCATGTTACTTCATTTATTAGATTCCATTAGACGGATCATAATGAGATTTTATTCTCACAATACTTGTTGTAAGAGTCTTGTACATACACCAGCAATATTAAAAAATTATAGTCAAAAAATTGTATACAGTAAACCTACAGAGAAATCGAATGGAAATACAGTTTTAGAACTTGACATTAAAGTTTCATAATTATTATTTAACATTCTGACTTTCCGTGTATTAGTACTTTAGATATTATAGATAAGTAGATGATACAATTGAAGATATAATAATTAAATAAGAGTAAATAAATAAATATTGTAGATAAGTTATTAAAGTTCTCAATAAGTATACTTTAAATGAATAAATTTCAACTTTAAAAATGAACATAATACTCATAAATATGCAAATCACATAACGAGCATCTAATGTTATAGTTTCAAAGCTTGGGTTGAGACTTTTATTACGCTATATTATTCTTGTATTTTTTTTATTTTTATAAGTATAGGATAAACAATAGAAGTATAAATAGAAGGCATGTGTTGTTTGTGCTGCACTTAAGCAGGCTGTAAATCTCAGGATGTTTGTTTTGTTGTGGATGAGGCTACAACCGAAAACTGTGACGTTACAGATATAACGTAATTAATTAAAAAAGTGTATAAAATATAATATTCAACACTTTTGATATTAATTTTCATTGTTAGTAATTTTAATATTCATCAAATGTAAGGTGTGTTGGGAAAATAATGGGAATTTTCATTTTTTTTTAAATACAGCTGTTTATTTGTCTGTATCAATGTTATCTCTTATAAATAGTCACCATCAGATATTACATACAAGTGCCAGTGCTTTTTTCAGTCTGCGAAACAATTTTCAAATTTAATCTTTGAGATAGCCTTCAGTTCTTTTAGCGATGCGTTTTTTATGTCATCTATGTATGTAAAACGACGGCCTTTTAAGGTTCTCTTCAGTTAGGGAGAATAAAAAAAATCACAAAGAGCCAGGTAAATATGGAGGCTGATAATTAAATGACTTCCGATTAACTTTCATGCGCAGTTTTTGGATGAAATTTAACAACTTTGGAACAAATTTTGCTGCCACTTATTTCATACAGAAAGAACTTTAATTGTTATTTACGTAATAAGTGCGGAAAAGACGATTTCCCGCACGAGTCGTGATTGACTCGCACGAGTGGCCGGAGTTGACGGGAATGAGGGCCAGTTGAGCACACGAGTGTGATCGCACGGCACGAGTTACCGTCACCGGCCACGAGTGCGGGAAATCGTCCTGCACGAGTTGCAAACAAGTTTTTTCGCAATAAGTGTGCGGAAAATAGGTGTTTTCCGCACTGATATTAGTGTGGAAAATCGATTTTCCGCCCTCGGGTGGTTTTGGGAGGCTGGTACTTCCTCGGGCGAAAAAGCAGTTTTCCGGAACTCGTTCGAAAAGTCTCCTTTACGAACCTCGTTACGTCCCTCGCCTTCGGCTCGGGCCGCAAACCTCTCGGTTCGCAAACAGAGACTTTTCAAACTCGTAGGAAAACTACTATTTCCACATAGTGTGCGGAAAAGGTGTGTTGAAAAGGTTTTTGTCGCACACCTTTTCTGCATACTGTGCGGAAAAACCTTTGCCACACACCTTTTCCGCACACTTTGTGGAAAAATCGATTTTCCACACTAATTTCAATGCGGAAAACACCTATTTTCCGCACACTATTGCGAAATAGTAGTTTTCCTACGAGTTTGAAAAGTCATTGTTTGCGAACCGAGAGGTTTGCGGCCCGAGCCAAAGGCGAGGGACGTAACGAGGTTTGTAAAGGAGACTTTTCGAACGAGTTCCGGAAAACTGCTTTTTCGCCCGAGGAAGTACCAGCCTCCCAAAACCACCCGAGGGCGGAAAAAAATTTTATGACACGAGCCAATTAATATTCTAACATCATCAGCAAATTCTCTAATTGTGATTTGGCGATTTTTTATAATCATTTTTTTCACTTTTTCCGCGTTTTTATTGGTTATTGATTGGACGATTTATCGAACGTTCGTGATATTCAACACCCATACAAACGTTTTGAAAATACCTATACCATTCTCAATCATCGTTTTACTCATAACAGACTCACCATAGGCCTTTTTCAACATTTCACACCCTTGATTACACTTTATTCTATTTTTCACGCAAAACTTAATACAAATTCTCTGATCCATTTTTTTTAAACGAAAGAAAATCGCCAAGCTCAAGAAACAAATGCAACCTCAGTGTCCACCGCAGACAAAGTAAAGAATGAATATAGCTATAAATTATACCATACTTTAAGGATATTTATACCACTATAATAAAAAAATTTTTTGAAAATCGGACTATCACAACCCACGAAATTTCTTAGTTCTCGTTATTTTTTTAACACATCTCGTACGTATTCAACTTCAACTGCTTATATGCGTGGTAAATTTTGTAGCGTAAAATATGTTAACATACTGTGTTTAAAATCTTTTTTTTTGTTTAAAGTATACTTTTAACGCAAAAAAAAAAATTTAGAACTCACAACCAAAAAATTATTCAATGCACCTGTTTAATACTGGATTTAGTATCCAATAAAATGGACTTTAGATTTAAATAAAGCTGGATACTGGAGTGAACATAAAAAGCTAGGAAAGATCGAACGGGTATGAAGTACTACACTTCTTACACGCAACAATAATAACAAATGTTAGATTTATTAATATATGTAACAAATAAAATCTGCTCCGCCTACGTACGTGTTGATAATGACTGAAAATTGAGTGGTTTAGAGAGAGCAACAGGTAAAACAAGCAATCAATGTGAACAAACTAGCAGCATCAGCCCTCATCTTCTTGAAACTGGTTGTACAGCGGCACGCGGGATGTATTATATCACACGCTCCTGAGTTTACAATATCAGATGCAAATTACATAGGGTAAGATTCTAATCAAACAATATACTTTAAGTTTTACATACATGTTGAATATGTGGCTCTAGTTATTGTGATTGAAGTAACAATGCAGTCCTGATGGTATACATATCGAGGTTAATGTACTGACAGCAGGGCAGAAGTACATCAATATTGGTATTAGTATTGGTATTTTGATTTCTAGGACATTCTTTCGGCTTTCGCCGTACAAGCGACCTTTTTTGCTTTCAACTTTTTTTCGCCCTAACCGCACGGTGTGCGAGTCTTTCGGGCGGGCCCCTTGCAAAGTTCCCCTTAGACGACTCGGTCATCCATCCTGCTGGGTACTATTTACAGAGCGTAGCGATTGTCTCAAGCACACCCTAGCTATTTTTAAGTTCGATGAACAGATATTTTCCAATAAACCATCTAATTCGCTGCACCTACCATTTTATAACTAACAACGACTCCACCCGATGAGCTATCCAGGTGTTGGCTTTCCTTCGAAAAGAAAGCCTCTGGAGGTCCAAACATCACCAGAAAAATTAAATATTAGTTTAAAAAACCGGATCAGTTGTAATTCGTCATCTTGGGTACTCATCATATCGAAAAAGTCCGAGAAAAGTATCTCGTAAATTTTCGACAGGATTCGAACCCATGACTCCTCGAGTATCTCTGGCTAGAAGGCTAGCATGCTAACCACTAAGCCATCGAAGTACTTCTTAGTACATTAATATAAACAACAATAAGAGTTTTCAATGTAAATTGCATAAATATGCTAACAATACTTATTTCTTACTGGCTTCATGTTCGGGAATGATTGTAAGTAAAATACGTTCATGTACAGGTCTCATCAGCTCCAAGTTACTGATTCTGACTCTTACCCCACGAACAAGAAACATAGGATCCAGAAATACTTCTATGATTTGACTCTAAGGCCACCTAGCCGAATAT